GATGTGAGAACAACACCCTGCGGGAAGGGAGAGCAGACAGAGGAGCCGGGGTCCCTCAGCCCTGCCCACCCCCTCAGTTGTAACAAGCGAGACATAACCTGCCTGGGGGTGGGCAGGAGACGTTCACCGATATTCTGGCTCTGCCTCCTCTCAGTCACACAGTAGGAACTCCCCACCCACTGGCTTGGCCAGCGAGGCCTGACCATGGTGGCAGGTGTCAGTTCTCGGTGCAGCTTCACAAGCAGCAAGTGCGCCCCGCGCCTCCCTCGCGGCCGCGTCTGAGCTGGCGCTCCACCAGCCCGGACCCCGGGCACCAGGAGCAGAGCCCTGCCACCTCAGCAGAGAGGTCGCTCCACGAACAAGCCGCGGTGGCTGTGAACCCATGCGTGACCGGCGCCGCAGGGACAATACACCAAAATGTAGGGGCCTAAGGAAACGAGTTGCTCTTTCTTGTGACTCTGATCTGTGGGCCGGCCAGGCAGTTCCTGTGCTGGGCTTGCCTGGGTCAGCATGCAGCTGCCGTGGTCGAGGGCTCGGCTCAGGGGGCCGTGGGACAGGGGCCGCTCGCCCTCCGGGGCCTCCGGCAGAGCCCTCAGGGGGTGGCTCTGGGGCAGCACGAGCAGCAAGCCCCATGACGCTATCCTCAGAAGCCGCATGACATCACTCCCACCGTGTTCTGTGGGTCACAGCACATCACAAGGCCAACCCAGATTTAAAGGTGGGGACCCTGAGCCCTAGCCGGTTTGGCTCCGTGGATAGAGCATCGGACTGAGGACTGAAGGGTCCCAGGTTCGATTCCGGTCAAGGGCACATGCCCAGGTTATAGGCTCCATCCCCAGTAGGGGGCGTGCAGGAGGCATCCGATCAATGATTCTCTTTCATCATCACTGATGTTTCTATCTCTCTCTCTCCCTCTCCCTTCCTCTCTGAGATCAATAAAAATATGTTAAATAAAATAAAAATAATTCCCCAAAATAAAAATAAATAAAGGTGGGGGACACTTTACCTCTTGGTGGGAGGAGTGGCAACCTCACATTGCACAGAGGCGCGCACCGTGAGGAGGAGGCAGTTATGGCCGTAATCTGCCAACGACTATCGTGACCAGACCTGGGGCTTGTCTGCTCCGGGCACCACGAGTCCTCAGTGACTGAGTCCTCCAGCGACTGGCTTTTGGCTGCCTCTCTAAGCCACTGCTACAGACAGCGGCATCCCCCAGAATTCACGCGTGAAGCCCTGACCCACAATGTGCCTGTATTTGGAAATTACCGAGCCTATAAAGAGGTAATTAAGGTTAAACAAGGTCATAAGGGTGGGCCCTGCTCTCCCCCACCCTCTCCCCTCCCCTCCCTCCCACCCCGTGTCACAGAGGAAGGCCCACGAGGACGGGCCTCTCGCCAGAAACGGCTCGTGCCGACGCCCTGCTCTCGGACTCCCAGCCTCCAGACCGTGAGAAAGAAATGTCTGTTGTCCAGGCTGCCTGTCGGTGCGATTTTGTTTTTGGGACTCAAGCCGACTAGTACACCTGCCCGATTCATATCTAATAACGTCTTTAAAAGAAAGGACCTTTCTTTCATGAGTTTCCCCCAATATTTGTTGAGTTAAATAAACTTGGCAGAGTGTGTCCGAACCCATTCCACCCTCTTCCTTAAGCAATAAAGCCCCATTGTCCGCTGCGCCCGCAGCCTGTGCTCCTGGGAAAGGGGTGAGCTCCTACCTTTCCTTCTCCCCTTCCACCGGCTGGCATGCAACCTAGACCCAGGGAGCCGTCACACGGGCCGTCACAGTTCACACTGACAAAGCAGCTGCATCCAGCAAGCCCTGCTCCCAAGCCTTTAGGCGACCATAGCTGCCCGGACCATTCCGGAAACTGTCACTCTAGCCTGGTCTTAGCAGCCAAACCTGCATCTAACAAAGATGCTTACCGGAAGTCAACGCCAGGACACGTGTTTACCAGGCTTTAACCTAAATGGCCGTCATCAAGAGAACCCAAACGCAGGGACTGAGCTGAGGTAGCCGCTGACTTTGCTCTGGAGCAAAGGCCTCCGCGTGAGCAGGCAGCGGGTGGGCGAGGCCGCCCTGGCCGGCGGGGCGGAGCTGCTCATCCCATCCTTGGGGAGGCAGGGTCCTCCCATCTGGCTGCCGCACCCTGAGAGCTGGTTCTTGTCTGCTTGGCTGGAACAGGTCCCCGTCGGGGCTGCATCCCAGTCCCCAGGACGTGGAATGAAAGCAGAAACAGGGACAAGTACCGACGTGGAAATTCACCCACTCTCTCACTCATACTCCGAGGGCAAAATCTTGACTATATGGGAGGCTGGGGAAGGCGGTCTCTGGTTTGTCTACCATGTGCAAAGCTAGAACTCCAGTATCACGCAGGAAGGAATGGACCTGGGGAGACAGCGAGCAATGTGCACGCGGAGGGCCCTCTGCTGGGAGGCTGCCCAGGGCGGCACCGCCCCGCACGCTGGCAGAGCAAGCTGGACAGAAAACCGGCGGTCGCCGGCGGGGGTCCGGTCCCAGCTCTCCCTGGGGACCTGCCAGTGTGGAAGGACCGAGCCGAGCCCCTGGGCCTGCAGTACCAGGTCCTTCCTTCCCTCCCACGCTCCCACGCAGACGTTCAGTGGACCCCATTTGGTGAGGGTGACCTTGGCTTGTCCAGTTTTTGCATCACTAAAAAGCCTGGCAAATGCAACCTTTGTTTTCCTCCCACGAAGGGAGGAGGTAAATGATGCCTAAAACGACGGACCTCCGCTCCTGCAACTTCTTCCCTCTTGTCCAGATTCCTTCTCATCGGTTCGAGGTTTCTAATATTTACTTTAGGGACCAATTCCAAAGAGAAGAAATCAACACCCCACCATCTGCAACTCACCCCCCCTAGTCACCGGCTTCGAAAAGGAAAAGATGGCCCGGCCAGCGTGGCTCAGCGGTTGAGAGTCGACCCAGGAACTAAGAGGTCATTGGTCCAATTCCTGGTCAGGGCACATGCCCGGGTTGGTTGTGGGCTCAGTCCCCAGTAGGGATGTGTGCAGGAGGCAGCCGATCGATGATGTTGCTCTCTTGTTGACGTTTCTATCACTCTATCCCTCTCCCTTCCTCTCTCTCTAAAAAATCAGTAAAAAACATATTTTTAAAAATAAATAAAATAAGAAGGAAAGGATGGTGTGATGGCTTCTCGGGATGCCTTACTGCTCCCACAGGGAGTCATGGCCTCGCTGCTGAACGTGTCCTCGCGGGGCTGGCAGAGAAGACAGGCCGGCCGGGGGATGAGGTCTCCACTGGCCACCGGCTTTTCCAGTCTGGACACTTAGACATGGACTCAACTAGCATCTGCCTCCCTCAACCTCCCAAAGCAACCGCGGAGCCGATTCCATTTCCAGGTCAACCCCCAGTTTTGGAAACCAGGCTGGCCTGGCCTGGTCCCTGCTACGGTGTGATGCGAGCTGAGGCTTCAGCGGTCCTGAGCGAGGCTCTCTCTGTTCATAGTGGATCTGTCCTTGCCCCACTGACGTCCCTTGAGCCTCATCGATCTATGTCACTGACTTCCAATAGGAGCCCCTCTCTCTGTCTGCTTGCGGGTTCCTCTTGCGTCCTCCACCTGTGCCCAGAAAGCTGGAAATGCCAGAGAACTGCGGCCCCTGAAGCCAGCCCTCACCCTGTGGCCGCATGGAATGGGGGTATAGCTACGCCGGCTCCTCGCTCCCCGCTGGGGTCATTCTGATGTGCGTGCCCTGCACCACTCCAGGGATCCTCACTCACCCATCACAGCAACTCCACCTGAGGGCGCCTTTCCTACCGCACCTTCCCGGACCACGTCCCAGATGCACTAATCGCACTGGAATCCTTGTCTCAGGACTGCTTCTGGGGGAAGAAGACCCACATTAACAGGAACGACTATGCGCCAAACACCATCCCAAACCCTTTGTATGTAGGCGCTCACTTGACTTTTAGGACAAGCCGATGATGCAGGCTTTATCGTTATCCCCCTTGACAGATGAGGAGACCAAGGCACAGAAATGGTAAATGCCCTGCCCCTGTTCACACAGGTGCTGAGTGGCAGAGCTGGGATGCAAACCCAGGCAGCGTGGCTCCTGAGCCTATACTCACAGCCCTGATGCTTTGGTGCCTCTTCCTACCTTCTCTGAGTGGCTTTCAGAGCTCCCTGAACTTCCCTCAAGTCACAGTTCCACCCACCCTTCTGCATCGTGCCTTCCCAAGCCCTCTCTCCCCTAGGTGCTTGCCTCTTTCCACCCCATCTCCTGTAACACCTTATCCTCCATTCTTCTCAAATCCCTCATATATATATATATAAATAAAAGTGTAATATATATATATATATTAATAAAAGTGTAATATGCTAATTAGACCAGACAGCTGGACGACCTTCGAGACGAAGCTGCGGGGTCTAGGCAGAGGCGGTTAGGGGTGATCAGGCAGGCAGGCAGAGGGGTTAGGGATGATCAGGCAGGAAGGCAAGCAATTAGGAGCCAGCGGTTCCAGATTGCAAAAGGGATGTCGAACTGCTGGGATTGGGCCTAAACCGGCAGTTGGACATCCCCCGAGGGGTCCTGGATTGTGAGAGGGTGCAGGCTGAGGGCCCCCCCCCCATGCAAAAATTTCGTGCACTGGGCCTCTAGTATAATAATAATAAAAGGCTAATATGCAAATGGTCATCATGCCCTCACACGTAATGACTGATCAGCAGGGGGCAGGGCTTGACAGGGGACCTGAGGCTCACGTTCCCCACTTGGCGGGGCTTGACGGGGGTGGGGCCAGCTGGGTCTGGGTCTCACGCGATTTCGAAGTGCACAGGGTTGGACAGGGACTTGACTCTGGGTACCGCAGCGTGCCCCAGACTCTGACAGGAGGGAGATTTTCATATACATTTCACTAATTTTCTTTCATCTCTGACACTTCTATTTTAGAGAAAGGGCAAATAGCAATATGAAAATATTTCCTCTAATTAATTTCCTTTTTAAAAAAATATATATTTTATTGATTTTTTACAGAGAGGAAGGGAGAGGGATAGAGAGTTAGAAACATCGATGAGAGAGAAACATCGATCAGCTGCCTCCTGCACACTCCCTACTGGGGTTGTGCCCGCAACCAAGGTACATGCCCTTGACTGGAATCTAACCTGGGACCCTTGAGTCCACAGGCTGACGCTCTATCCACTGAGCCAAACCGGTTAGGGCTAATTAATTTCCTTTTAATGTGCATGATTTTGTGTATCGGGCCACTAGTCTACACTAATAAAATAGAAAGATGCAAATTGACCGTACATTCGTGAAGCCCATCAGCCAATCAGGAATGAGTATGCAAATTAACCCAATAAAGATGGCTGTTAATTTGCATATACAGGCGCCGAGCGGCCAGGGGCGGGGCGGGATGCTTCCCTCATCACCATGGCGACGACGCAGGCGTTCCACACCGCCCCAGCCGCTCTGGGCCTCTGGGCAGTGTGGGAAGGCGACTCCAGGCCAGAACAAAGGCAGAAAGGGGAAGAAAGGCCCATTCTTGCATGAATCTTCATGCATCGGGCCTCTAGTATATAATAAAAGTGTAGCCCTAACCAGTTTGGCTCAGTGGATAGAGCGTCGGCCTACAGACTGAAGGGTCCCAGGTTAAATTCCGGTCAAGGGCATGTACCTTGGTTGCGGGC